GCAGCAGCAGCAGCAGCAGCGCGGCGGCCGCCGCCACAGAGCCGGGCGCGCGTGGGCTGCGGGGACGGGCGCACCGGGCGGCTCCGCGAGCTGCGGGACCAGGTAGGTCGGGAGCCCCCTCTCGGCCGCCGCGGTGACTCGATGCACCGGCTTCACGTCCCCGGCTCCAAAGTTGGCGGAGCAGGCGCGGGCTTCTCCGGCCGCATGCGCTCCGGTCCGCGTGGGCAGCCCCGGGTGGGAGACGCGTATCCGGCTCCAGCGTGGAGAGAGGCCCGCGGGCCGGCCCTCAGCGCGGCGCTTGGCCCGGGAAAGTTGGAGAAGGAAACAGTTGCAAGCCCTCGGGGCGCCGAGGGGGAAGGCCGGGGCCCGGGCGGGGGGCGTGCGCCCGCGCTCTGCCGAGCCCCCTCCAGGCACCGGCGCCGGGGAGCCAGCTGGGGGGAGGACCCAGCGTTGGGGACCAAGTTTTTCCGAGCCGCGTCTTCCGTGCACTTTCGTCCGTGTCGCGCGGACGCGCAAGGTTTCCTCGGACGGGCTGGGGTCTGGGTTGCTGGAGCTCGGACCCGGGTCTCGGCCGCGTCTCCGTTCTCTGCGGAGCCGCGCAAAGCTCCCCACGCAGGTCACAGAGCCCCAGCTGGTGCCGGCCGGGCTCCCCGGTCGCAGCGCCGCCAGGGCCGGCTGTGCCTGCTCGAGACGCACGGGAACCCTCCGGGCTCCGCTTGTGCGAAGCTCCGCGGGCTCGCCAGCCCCGTGTCCTTCCCGGGATCGCGTTTGCTTATCGATTTGCACCACGGAGATGCGCCCATAGCCATGATTTAATAACAAACGGTGCCCGCTCGGGCGAGGAGAGCGTCTACCCGCCGAGCCCTGGGTGGGGACGGGGTGCCCAGTGTGGCCACCTCACAGCAGAGGTGGGCGGCAGAGCAGCAGAAAGGCCGGCGGGAGACATCTGATGTGCTGGACGGAGGTCAGAAACCCCTGCGGGTGGGTAAATCCGGAAATAATTCTAAATGGTTAAGCAAGAAAAGAAAAAAAAAAAATAGGGAGCCTGTAGGCGCTGTGGTTTCTGTCCGCCCCCACAGAGATGAATATCGCACTAGCTGGAAAAGAATTCTGATCTGTAAATAGATTAAAAACAGGAATTAATCAGAACAATGAGTCAGACCACTTCAGAGATTGAAAGGAGGAGTAATTGCCTTTGAAAGCTCTATTATGTCTCAATAGCGAAGTCAAATGTGTTGCTTTTGCTTTGCTAGCTCTGTTTAATAACAGTAGCTGCTTGGGCTGCAATAACCTGGCATCTGAGTTTGTGGTTTTAACCCGTTGTGGGTCATGAGACCAGGAGAGGGAGGAAGTTGCAGGTTAACGTTCATAACCCTTTGAGCGGCGTTTGCAAAATGCCTGATGTGTGCCCGTCCCCGGTTGCAGCAGTGGGACGGGTTCTTTTCACGCTGTTCATAAAAGGCGCCTGACGGGTTCGGCCTCGGCAATGGAAAGCGCTGGCTTGCACATTACAAAAATAGAGCCTTCGGGGGTGACTGCTGTTTGGAGGAAGGCTTGAAGCCAGGTGAGAGTCGAGGTGTGGCCTGAGGACCGGAATGCACCGGTACCGCCACGGGAATAGCACGTTGCTACACTAGTTTTTCGGTGAACAGCGAGGTTGAATGCGAATGTGTGGCCCGCCTGTCTAAAGATGGCTCAGCTGAGACACTGAGAGGCTGATTGATTTGCAGGGTAATAGATTCAGTCAGGCAGGGCTGCCTCAGACAATCACATTCAGCCCCACGTCCCACTCGCTGTCTGGATGTCATTAATGTCAGCCTGAGCCCGTGAAGGCTGTAAGTTCATGTCTCCAGGAGAAGTCTAACTTTTAAATATCCTTCGTGGCACAGTCACGTAGCGCGAGTGTTCCTGAAAATGGCCCCACAACCTTTAATGGGACCCAGCTGCTGAGCACTCCGGCGGAGCACGGGCTAGCTGTGGGCCGCACGCTGCAGCCTTGGCGTGGCTGATTTATGTTCAGTTTTATCATGGCCACATTTCATACGTGCCTGGTTATTACAGACTAATAGCCTCTGCGCTCCGCTAGCAAAATATGTGTCTTTCTCCTTTATAAGTTCCTAGCTCCTTCTCCCACGGGGTTCAGGTCACATCTCCCAGCTTTGTTCTTCCTGCGTAATTTAAGTGTCCAACTTGAAGCTCTCATTAACGCCTGTGGTTCGTGCTGAAATAGCATAGACATATAATCGCCCCCTTTCAAACTGCCAGCTACTGTGGCCAGGCCGCCAAGCAGAAGCAGTGCTCCGTGTCTCCCTAGCACCCTTTAGTGAGTTAGTAGCATGGTCATTCTGGGCATTGGGAGATGATCAGATGGCAGGAGGACTGATGGATGCTGTGTGTTTGCTTGCCCTCTCTGGTTTAGTCATCTCCACCGGCCCACCCTTAAGCCTTCGGATCTCAAAGCAGTTACTTTGTCTCTTTGAAGGTGAGTGTTTCTGAGATGCCCCCATGGCTTTCACGTGCACCGATCATGGTGGACTGTTTCCTTTCTTATACTGGGTGCCTTGGTAATATCCTCTCTGCAAAGATGTTTGTCAATAATTAGAATGTTGGGCCACAGAATAGTGTAAGATAGCAGATTTCTTTGACATTCAGGGGCAACAGATCTCTGTTTCAGGTCTAATTTGAATAAAAATTTCAGAAATGGATCAAGTGTGCTAACTGGCTTTCCTGTCAGGCCTTACCTCCCCCTGAGCCCACCCCACTCCCGCCCTGTCTCTCTCCTGCACGCAGTGGGACATTCCTTTTGAAAACTGGCTGTGGGAGAAATGCACTCCCCGGTTGCCACTGTATGCCAAGTTTCAATCCCTGGTCCTTTTATTTCTCCCCTTTTATATACGTGTTATAAACAAGAAATCAGGGCTTGTAGTAGAAGTGCTGGCGATGCTTTATAGCATCTCAAACAGCACTGCTACTTGGCATGTAAATATTTGTGGAATCTTCACTGTGCAAGAAGCTGCCTTTGCAAGAAATGAGGCAAAATGAGTGTTTTATTAAGTAGGAGAAGTAATCGGGGCGGAGCACACACTCTGTACTGCAGACCCTGGCGCCTTAGGGAGTAAGTGACGTGTCACAGCGACCTCACGGCACTCAGGGGGCTTGTGCAGCTCAGATTCCACATTTTCTGTGTTCTGAAACGGGACAGGCCACCCCTTTGTTTTTTTCCTAAGTCACTTGACTTGGATTACCTTTCTGTTGTTAAGAGAGGACATCTGCAGTTCAAACCATCTTTGATTATCCTGCGGGGGCACAGCCTGTTCGGATGGGGGCGCCCGGCCCCGCTGCCGGTCCTGTGGTCTTAGGAGCAGCACAGCTCAGACCTCCCGGGCACTGTGCTTCTGACTCTGAAATGTCGCCCAGACTGGCCCCCGGCCCCCCATGTCCTCTCACAGACCCATCTGCTCTGAGTCCCCACCTCCCCTGGGACAAAGGCACGGGCCCCGCCCCTTCCTTCCCTCCCCATCACCCCGCAGGCCTTCAGGTTGGTCTTTTTAATGCGAGTTGAATTAGAGCTTCACTCCTCACAGCTCCTGGAGGCCCTCTGTTGCGTTCAGAACAGGAAACAGTATGTCCCCAGCGGGCAGGTTTAGCCTCCGCCCTCCGGCCACACCAGCTCATGCTGTGCTCTGGGGAGCAGGGCCTGTGGGTTCCCCTTTCCTGCCTTAGGGCCCATTCAGCCCCTTTGCCTGGGAGCCCCCTCCAGCCTCTGCCTCCAGAAGTGCTACATAGGTACACACACACTCACACCCTCACTGACACACACACGTGCACACACTCACACTCACATACACACACACACACACACACTCACACTCACACACACTCACGCACGCACACACTCACCCTCACCCTCACACACACACAGCTTGACCGCTGCTCACCCCCCTGGCTGATTTGTAGTTTGAATGTTGTAGGACTGAGACAGGGCCCTGTCATTTCCCTGCTCATGCAAATTAGGGCTCCCGTGCGGCCCCCTCTGTGCATGTCCCTGCAGGCTTACGGGGACCTGGCACTGCCCCCACCCCCAGTCCTCCCCCACCCTCCTGTCAGCACCTCCGGAGCAGTTACCTACCTGGCCTTCTCTCTGCTGCAAAGCAGCCCCAGCCCGCCACAGTCCCTGGCGTTTGCAAAACCCGTGAGAACGTGCTTTTGGGGGGTGCTGAGTTTGCATCATGGACCAAAGACCCTGGCAGGAGGGTCTGTGTTCACCAGACGTCTGCAGCTGCTGTTCATAGAGCATGCTTCTGCCACGTGGCCCAGGACCCCCCAGATCTTGTGGGTACCGGCTGCTTCAAGCCCGTCGGGTTGGAATGGGTTCAGCGTGTTTCCTCCCAAGCAGGTCCATCTTAGGTGATGTCTTCTGTCCTTTGCTCTCACCGTGGTCCTCGGGGCATGTGGCACCCATGGGCTTTGGCACCGTCCTCTCCCTTTGTCTCTGTCACCCGTCATCTGATGGGAAGGACAAGCCCACTCCCTGGGGTCTTCATGAGCAGCCCAGGCCCAAGCGCTTGACCCCCTTCGCACAGCTCACCTGAGTGCAGCAGGTGGGGAAGCCGGCTTCCTCCCACTCCCTCCGCTCACGTTAACCCACGAGCCAGACACCTTGTGCGGTGGGACCCCCGCTTCCCAGGAGAAAAATGCCCCTTGCCGGCCCTTCCAG